CACAATTATTTTCCAAGCCTTTTCAAAATTCATTCGCAATAACGTTTAACTTCTCAACATCTTCAATTCACAATGTTTGATATTCGAATAATACTCTACTACACACAACTATCGTAAAAGTACTATCGAATCAGATTCTGTGCGCAGTGATCGAAAAGATTCGTGGATTCGTGATATGTCAATGAGGATAGAGGACATCGTCTGTTCCTCGATTTATTCGTCGATCAACGACCACGTCGTTCTTGTTCCGGGCGTGCAAACACCCTCTTTCGTGACACTGAGGGATGTTCAAGCTTGTCACAACGAGGTTTCTTTCTGGCACACGCGGATTTCGCCGTCTCCGTATGAACGGAGACGGATAAATCACTGTCGCACCCAGTGTTCGTGCATTGGCACGAACCGTCGAAGGTAAACGAAAATAGTCGTGCCCCTCTATCACGAATATATCTAAACTTGGATTTAGAGAAGGCGAAGATGCTGAATCGTTTCGCGCGATATATCGTTGATCGAGTGAGATATATACTCGAGTTCCTAATAAATTGATCAAAAAATTTTTTTCATTTCTTCAGCAGCAACAACAACAGTTTTCTGAAATAATGAATCGAAATGAATCGTAGTTACACGTTTCAATGATGCTTTGTAAAATTTTATATGCTTTACGTAAAAAAAATCAAAACATATTTGTACTATTCTATTTTTCCAAAATGAACGTGCTTATTTGAAATAATAAATAATAATATCCAATTAATTTGTAATATTTCCAATTGGTAAATAAAAGGGGAGCTTAACTTACTGGAGCTGGAGTATAACCGAACGTGTAATAATATCAATGAAAAATAAATCACGTTATATATTTCTTGAACCAAGAAACAGGGTATAAAAATAACGGATAGAACTTTTGGAACATCTAATAAATTCTTGGAAGTTGGCATTTAAATTCGATCCAAGGATTATCTTCATTGGACAGGTTTGAGTAATTGAGGCGAGCTTGGAGATACGAGACACAGGAAACGGTCTGTAATTAAAAATGGATTTCTCTGTCTAATAATCTATTTTTGACTGGTTATTTGAGATGATCAGGATTACTTACGTGTAACATGTGAAATGAGACCACGTAGAGATATTTTATTGGTGAGGAATAAACGATCAAATGTGACTGAGTTTTATTGTAATGCTATAGAGATTGTTCCATTTATATAAGTCGATCTGAGAGAACGTGAGGATGAATATCTGTGAATGAATATCTATGAATAAGTTTTTATCCAAACTATAGAGTTTTCTTAAAAATAAACGGAATAAAAATACCAAAGTACTTCTCTGAGATACGATTTCCAGGACATTTCCTTGAAACATAAATCCTTGCACAAAGACTTATTGTAAAAAATCACAATATTCTAGGTTAGAAAATATCCGCAGTATCGAGTATTGATCGAATTCTCTTACTCTACTTGTCAAGCATGATATAACACAAACGTATCGTTCTTTGTATGGAAATCCAAGTTTAGTCTACACTTTCAATTATTGGAATAACATGTTGGACACATCCTGTTTACAACTATTGAATATCCACAGGAACGATATACACAGGAAATTTAAACGGATGTATATCGATCTAGAAATCGAAGATACAACAAGATGTGACCTAAATTAAATTTTTAATTATTTTCCAATCTTTTCTAATCTTTAATAACCAATTGTATAGACATTTCAATCTTATTAATGATTAATGATTTCCAATTAGTCGTATATTAAACTAATCGGATTGGATCCCAACTACTAGTCGAATCAAATTTTACTGAAAACTTTTAAAGCTCGCAATAAAATTCGATTAAAAAAAAAAAATTCGAACGATGAATAAAGATGAATGGAAATGGAAACAAAAGATTCTCGCGAATCCAGCGGTTTAATTAAACAGCGGAAGTGGCGAAGAATTATCGAGTATAGTGAAGGAAGGAGGCAAAGCGGCCAAATGTATTTCTGACCGCAACGCCTGCGCGCGCAAAAAAAAATCTCAGGATGGATTGCTTTATAACGATGAAGTGACTATTTCAAGAGATACCACACTGTATGGGATGTAAATTGAATTTGAAACAATTTTTCATATTAATAAAAATCATAAGATAATATTAGATTTTTTTTAATCTAAAATTTCTATTTAGAATCGTTGCTATCTAGAAAATGAAAGAATCTTAGGGGGATAATTTTAACTTTAAGAAGAAGTAAAAGAATAGATCTCGTTTTCTTTGATCTCGTTTTACCATAAATATATATTTTAAAAATGATTTATTCCAATATATTTCAAGAATATACTTTAAATCTAAAAGTTTCTTTCAAGTTTCATTACCTCGTGGAAATGGCTCTTCAATAAAGTGAATTGAATCCCTCGATACTCTCCATGGCCCGAGATCTGCCTCGATTTCTTACTTGTCGTTGAATCGGTTGAACTTTTCCGACTTTTCAATCGAAAATGTGACATTTTTACTTTTCTTCACACAAACGTTTCGAAATAAATCCCCGCTATCGATTGATCAATCATCGAACAGATCCTTTCCCGATCGCTTAAAAATTATCATTCTTTCGTAAACCGCTCGAAGTTGAGATATCCATGATAATGAAAGCACTTTTAACAAATTGCACAATTTTTTATATTTAACTTGGCGTGTTAACACGTTCGCTGCTGATAAGAATTTTTTTTATCACTTTTTATAAGTTATTTATATGTTCTGTTATAAATATATTCCGTTGTAAATATACAATAAAAATGCAAAATATCGAGAAGTGTTAATTCATCGTTCCAACATTTAAATTTTAACACTTTTTTTTTAAATATTTTATCTTTTCAATATCTCGTTAATAGGTATTAAAAATATCACGTTTTCAAATTTACATTTATACATCATGTTTAGACGCGTAAAAGCGAAATTTGATCAAATATAAAACTAAATCGCTTTCAATTCAATCAATTTTTTAATTTTTTTAAAATTCTAAAAGAGAATTTCTGGTCGAGAAATGATATAATTAATAAATTATTCAAACGTTTATTGGATAACAGTTTACGAATGGATAATTATTAAATCGAGTGACTTATAAATTTCTTTTCTTGAAACGTTATGTAAAAAATTGAATGTGCAATTAATACTTTGACAAATAATCATAAGGTTTCGAATGAACAATCCAATATTGCTTCTTGTCGTATCTCAAATCAAATCAAGATCCTTTAATCTTATTAAAGTCAAGAAAGACGAATTAACTTGTCAATTAATCAATATCTTTTGATAATTCTCTTTGAAAAATTCTTTGTTTTTTTAATGCATCGTTATATTTATATTAAAAACATTTTATTTTATTTATATTAATAATAATAATAATAATAATAATAATAATAATAATCCATCAATAAAATTATTATCAATCATCTCAAATTGTCTCATTTATTTATCATCATAAATTCAAATTAATAAAAAGAATAAAAAATTACTTTTGTCTTCGAATATTTAATCGCAGGTATTTATCGAAATGGCATATACAACGATATTAAATAAACCAGCAGTTCTTATAAGATACTACCAGAGAAATATACATAATGAGTAATAATATGAGTAAATGAGTAATTATTATAAATTAATTTAAAAAAATATATGATATCTATCGTTTTATTTATTTATAATAAATCTCTTCTTTCCAAATTTGAACACTGTTCCAAATATCGATATTTAATATCATATCTAAGGAGTAATAAAAAGAATTATTTAAAACAGTCCATGGTCTAAACAAAGAGTTAAGAAACTGCTAAAGAATAAACTAATGCGAAACTGTGCTCGAGAGGAAATCAATGGGTCAGCTGTTCAACGAACGAGTACTGAACTTTCACTGAAATATCTTCTGTGCAGGCAGAAAAGAAAGTTCAACCAATGCATAAGGCTTGGTTAGAATAATCCAATCTATCATTATCGTGCAATTTTACTTATCTGGCTATTATATCACTCTTTTTTTAGAGTGTTTGATAAAAAGAAGATAAATCTAAGTCTATGTATTTTTTATTGCTTCAAGGTAATATCTATTTTGATTTTAATTTGTTCAATTGTGCTTCAAAGCCATGATAAGTTGAATAAATTTTGATTTTTCTTTCTAATAATTTTTCCATCGAATTTTTATATTCATAATTGTTTAATTTGCAATTCTTAAATAAAACAAATAATGAATTAACCAAAGAATAGGATAAAGAAGAATTAAATTTAAACAAAATTTAAATACAACTTTTTCTATACAAATTATTGATTCAAAAATCCTTTGGAATATCACTTAATGCGACAAAATAAAATAAAATCTTATCTTCATGTATTGATCGATGCTCACCTACGTGTTCTCTATTTTTATAAATGCGAAACTTTCCGACAATTTATCATTAAATAACGTGGCAAAAAATATTGTAAAAAAAAAATAAAGCAAAAAAAAATAGTAATCATTATCAGTTCTAAATAATTATATCTCATTCGAACAATGTATTACGATTGGAGCCAAGGTAACGCATTCTGTGAATAAACGTATTAATAGCTAATCTGATAATTTTCTAATAACTCGAATCAAGTTTCAAGGATAATTATCTGCACTTAATATTCCACGACTTCGAATTCGATTATCGAAATCAATTTAATAAAACTAATCACAAATATTATAAAACTTTCTTTCAAACGAATAATCATACAGAATATAGATTTAATAGATTTATAGGAAAATGGAACGGTCAATTAAAATATATATTATATATTTAATATTATATATATTATATATTAATATTTCGATAATTTTAAGTAAAAAATATTTCAATATTTTTTTAAGACATAATATACCTTTTAAAATAATTTTTTTATTATTTATATTCAATATCCAGTCATATCCCTTTATCAGAAATAATTGCAAAATAATATCAGATTTCTTTTTATAATAGTGTTATTCTTTTTAAATTTAATTTATTTATTTTTTTCACAGTTTCTGTCTAGTTTCTCTTCTTTTGAAAAAAAATTTTTGTCATGTTTTTCATTCAATGTACGTGCTATAATTAGAAAAATTTCAAAATGTAAATATCAATAGATTATTTATTCAAACTTATCAAATTATAAATAAGCGCATACGACATTTTCGCCATTTTAATGCCAAAAGTCATAAAATAAAGTTCCTTAGATAACCATTAAAAACAATACTTCCTTTCTCTAAATATATAATAATTTTCATTATTTTCCACAGATTTTATCAATTATGAAATCTATCTTTTATCCTTTTTATAATTCTATCTTTTATTCTTTTTTTTTTTTTAATTTTTTCTTATAGAAAAAAATAGTTAATGATTCCATTACAAGATGACGGGGATGATTTAAAGCACCTGAATGAATCATGATGATATTCGTACGTATATTGAATTATTCAAGAATTGAATAGATATTAATATCTACGAGAGGCAAAAGTCTTCAAAATCAATTAAATTATTGATAATCCTTTAAAAAACTGAAAAATCACGTCTGAAATTTATTGTAAAAAAAAAAGATCATTCACGTATATATCATATTATATAATTATATAATTAATCATTTATACTCATAATCATTTTATTAAATTTTTAAAAAATTGCACAAATGATGGTAAATGATAAAATTTTATGATATAACTAGACCATTAATAAACATAAAACGATATACCAAAAAACAAAGAATATTCTAAAAATAAAAATATTACCAAAATATTATCAATATGAATAACAAGTCAATTAATTTCTCCCAATTAAAAACTGGAACGCAATATCAATTTAAATATTCTTATAAATAATGCATAATATCAATCTTATGACGCATATAACTTACAATTAGACATAATCACTAAAAATCATTTTCACATAATCACCAAAATATATAGATCAACAAATCTAAAACGAGTTAAACCGATATGATAAAAAAATTACATAAAAACACTATTTTCATGCACGCATTAGAACGTGAAATACAAGATGAAATACAACGATTCGAAAATTCACTTTTACAATTCAAATAATTGATTAAAAATTTACACGAAAATTCCATGTTTTTTAAAAAATCAGTGCTGAAAAACGATCAAGAAAATGCAATCACAGAAAATGTGTGAATATGTATGTTTTGAGGAACAAAGCAAACACACTACTCGATCGGACTAACATCCTTCGTATACTGAGACGCGAGAACAATTAACCACGATACCTGACTCATGTGGGCGATCCACGTGGATGGATCATCCTCTACTATCGTTCACTGGCTAGAAAACAACGAGTGGGATGGCGGGATATCGTGATTTATACACTCGTCTAAAATTGGAATAGGTTCTCTTTTGACGATGCACAATAATCATCCTTATCGTTCGTTCATTTGTTAAAGGGTAACCTTCCTGGATCAACTGAACTGAGGCTAACGTCATCATCATCTACGCTTTGATAGATCTTTAGGAAAGCTAAGGTCAGAGAAATTTATGTATAACAATATTATACATGGTGTGCATAAATTGATTTTAGAATATAATTTAATTAGAAAATTAGATCAATTGATTTTTCAATCGATTTTTAACTTTTTAATTTTATGAAAATTCTTATAATGCATTCAGTTGGATTATGAATAAAATGGATTAAGAATAAACGCTCAGTTATTACTGATATTATTTGCAATATACTAGTAAAATATGTACGATTAATTTTTTTAATAGATGATTTGAATTTATAATTTGCAAAATCTATTGAAAATAATAATTATTGATTTTATTAATTTATATGTATGTATGTATATATATATATATATATATATATATATATTATTATAT